CAGAAGTACACACAGAAGTAGACAGCACAGAGTAAGGGGCTTTCAGGTACTTGTGCACACAGCCAACACCCATCAGCCCAGACAAGCCTGCCCGCCACAGCCCCACCCACCTCCCACCTCCGTCTCACCCACAATAACCCTATGCCCTTCTGAAGATATTCCCGTATCTCACTAAAAGGTTAAGAGCATTTTCATTTAACCACAGCTCTGTCAGTAAGAATACAGTCATTCTTTACAATTATCACTCATTCAACCAATGTTCAATTGACTCATATATACCATCATTTGGCAAAAGGGGTGTGTCCTGGGTGAAATGCTGTTTCACGTGAGCTCTGGCGCTAAAGCAGGCAATCCCAGGATGCTGCTTGGAAGCAACTGGGAATGGGTGCTTTCGGGGAGGACAGCCGAGACTTTAAACCAAGTAATAGGCCAGTCGCACCGACATGGCACGGTCCCAGGAAACTGGTTGTGGGGATGCTGAGAAGCAGCAGGCCTGGCGCTGGCATGGCACTGCCAGGTAAAGCGAGTGCAGGGTTTGAGGGCAGCGAGCTGGAAAGTGAGCCACTGCAATGAACTAGGATGAACCCATCTGATCACCCCAAGGCTGACCTTAATTGGCATGCTGAAAAGTGCTAGCCCAGCTTCCGGGGAGGCCCACTCTTGAGTCAGCAGACACTTCCTCCTAATAAAACCCACTTACCCTGTGTCAACTCTGGCAGCAGAAAAGCTGGAAATGGCTTTGAGTTGTGCTGTGTTTCTAGTACAGAGGAACCTGCTGGACAGGCCCTGCTCTCAGGTGACACCCCAAGATATGCCCAGATGGACACAGAACCAGTGCCAGGGAGGCTAGAGCCATCTACTACTTTTCCTACCTCTCCTTCCTCCTGGAATGGGGACAGAGGGAAATTCCTGCCCCAGCTGGGAACCAGAAGGACAACCTTTCTTTCAGGGACCAGCCTTGACAGCCAATCCTGCCCCAGCTGGGAAGGGCAAATGCATGTTGTACACAGCCAGCTTCACCCGACAGCCAGCCCAGACAGTCACTGCTGTTGCTCTGGCCAAGTACAGGGCAAGGCCACCTCTCCTTCCCAGGAATTCTTTCAACCAAGTGAGCTAGCACCAAGGAGGAGATTGCTGTAATTATGAAACAGTCAGCAAGCAAATGGCAGTGAGACCCTAACCCTGGTTCATCCAGGGCACCTAGGTGAAAGAGGGAGCAGGTCCCAGCTGCCAAGGCAGGAGCTATGCCCCCAGGTTCACCACACAAGTGGTCAGAGGTTCTGTAGCCATGACCATCCTGCCCTTACCACCAAAGGGGACCCACGAGAGACAGGTGGCCATGTCCACTCTGGGTGTATGTGTGTGGGTGGGTGGGGGGCTCCCTCTAGAAGCAGAGGACCAAAATGAGAATCATTAATCTCCGCAAAGCATTATTGATTTTGCTGTGAGCTGGCACCAGCGGACGGGCCTCCCTCCTCACTGAGAGCGGCCATTAGTGTGCATTCTCCAGCACTGGCCTAGACATCCCAGCCTGCTGGGGTCAGGCACTCCTGATGAAATGGCCTTGGACAAACCACATGGTGGGGTCACATGATGCTGCCATTAACGTGCTCTCCCTGCCCCTACATCCACCAGACAGCTGAGCAACAGAGCTGCACCCCACACCTCAGCGCAGGCAGATGCATCGACTTCCCAGACCCCCAACAAGGCCACTAGAGTCCCACTCACGAGGGAGGCTCATTTCCAATAGATAGTATGCTTTCAAGGACGTGGACTGGGGAACTCATGGGCACCAACCATTTCAGGCAAATGGAAAGAAAGAAATATGGCAAAGCCCAGTGCACATTGCCCCTCCCTCTCCCCTCCCCCAGTGCCAGCTCAGCTTCCAGTAATACTGTGGGAGGAGGGACCCATGCAAAGACAGAAGCCTGTGCAAGTGAGGCACTGGCGAACAGGGCCCCAACAGGGTTACCTCCCAATGCCAGCAACTAGTTTCTCTTTCTTTGATTCTGCAGGTGCAGACATTTTTATCAGTCTGAAGGTCTGGCCTGATAGGGGGGTGAAGCTAGAAGGGGCAGTCCCTGCCCACCGAATCACCCCCCTCATTCCTGAACACCCTTCCCCTGGTAGTATGCAGTGCCAGAGCCGGGGCTCTCAGGGCTGGCCTGCTTTATTATTCTTTATTCCCGCAGACGGAGGGCACAGACACCAACAGTTCCAGTGACAATCAGGGCATTTTCTCTGCCAGAACTATACTAGCCAAGGTGGCCTGTTTCTGGGGCACAGTAAACACTCCCAAATAACAGTGCTGAGGCAGCCACAGACAAGCTCCAGGCCTGGTACAGATAGCAGATGACAGGCCACCCATGTCACCCCACTGCTCCCCCACCCCACAAGGGAAACTTCCACTCTATGGTGCCTAGCTGTCTTCAACAGACTCAGGACAAGAGAGCCAACTGCTTGGCTGCAGGCCTCAAGTCTGGCATGGCCTGCAGGGACCTGACCACCCACAAGGCTGGTTTGTGTTCAACGTAAAATGAGGTTTTCAAAACAAAAGCAGAACGACTTGCAGAAAGCAGGCCCCAACCACTGACTCCAGGCCTCATTTGAAGCGAAATGCCCACCTGTAGATTCCCATGTACCCCCCTCCCCCCCAAACTAAATCAAGGAACAAGGAGGAGACCACTCAATTCTTCTTTCCAGTCTGCAAGGGCGGAACCCCTTGGACTCAGCCCCTGCAGCTCACCAGGCGGCAGCAACAGGTGCAGCCCAGTTAAGGCTGGCGATTCTCCCTGTCCCTGCTGGAACAGCGCAGCCCAAACCCGTAAGGAAGACCGCCTAGGCCCGCAGCCCTCCAAGCCCGGCGGACCTGCCCCACCTGTCTGAGCTAGGGCTCCGGCCGGGCACTCGGGGGCCGCGGCCTCCGCGCCCGAAATAGCAGCCCGCGGGGCCAGGCCTGGCTGGAGGGGGCTGGGGCGCCGCGGGGGCCAGGCGGGGCCGCAAGGTCCAAGCCCAGCGGACCTGGCGCTGCCGGCCTGGTCGAGCGCGCCACCCTTCTCCGGCCGGTGTCCGCAGCTTGCCCGGGGAGGGGGAAGGGGGGCACCGCGCGGAGCCACCTGCACACGGGAACAGGAGCCGGCTAGGGGCCGGGGAGAGTCAGGGATCTCTGAGAGGGCCCCGGAGGAGGGTTCGGGGCCGGGGCTTCGGAGGGGTGAGGGCTGGAGTCTGGTAAGCGGTGGACTCCGGGTAGGAGTCAGGGCATTGATGGCTGGGGGTGGCGGGGTGTCCGAGACGGGGCTCCGGAAGGGTCCCGGCAGCAGTCGGGATCCCGGGCCGCCGAGACGGTCAGAGGTACCGGACGCCTCGGGACGGGGGCTCCGGATGGACCCCAGGAGGGTCCCGTAAATGCGGCGCACCTGCGCGGCCCGCGCCGTTCCCAGCGCTTACCTGGCGCGGCGCGTCCTGGCGCAAGGCCCTGCTGTGCCGGG